TTCGTAATGCCCCCCCCCCCGAAGGATGAGCATATAGTCGCTGCTATGTCAGTCCATCCTTTCACCTGTCTATCAGCTTTTCTTGTAATAATTGCCCTTTGTTTATTTTTACATTTTGAACTTTGTCTGGGACGTAACAGATATCAACATGAAACTCTGTAGGTAGATAGATCTCATTGAGTAGAAGTGCATTGTTTAAGAACCTTTAGAAATGCCAGCGTTGTCTTATTTTGAAGTTATTGCCCTTTGTTCATTTTTACACCTTGAATTTTACCCAACACATAACTCTGAAACTATAAGAGATATCATCACGAAACTTTATAGATAGATAGATCTCATGGAATATAAAGTGCAGTGCAAAAAACATAACTCTGCCTTGCCTAATTTTGGATTTTTTGCCCTTTTTCATTTTTTTATACTTTCCTGTGTCCAAAACCTTCTCTGAGGGAGCATCACCCGGTTCAACCTGTTCTTGTGAAAAAGATTAAGTTCAATTCAATTTACCATGCATGGTACATAGCAGAGGCTATCTGTAGGGACAGATTTCTGTCTTCTAGATGATTAAGTCAGATGCTGTTAAGTTATGGTTCTGGTAAGGAAGAGCACGAGGCATTTTAGGGGAAAATATTAGCATTTTTAGGGGAAAATATACCTATTTTGGGCTAGGGGAAACAGCCTTTATTCGCCTGTAAAATACAGTGAAAAAAATCACTGGTATCTACAACATATTATCCTGTGGCCATATCATATAAATGACAATACCAAAGCATTTTAGAGACTTAAAGTTTTATAGCCCACCAAACAATTATTTTCAGGGGCGTCGCTTAAAGTTTAAATTCATGTGCAGACCATATTCTAGGTGGGTATAGGGGCAAACTCTTTCCTCTCAATACAGGTGGCAAAGGCTGATTACTTTCAGTTCTTACAGGTTAAAGTTCAAATAAATAACTTATATTTTCTTTAATACATTTTGTGTACTTTATTTTGTATACTTCATAGTTTTCAAATACGCGAATTATTTTTGGAGAGCATAATTCCTTTGGTCTATCTGTTAAGAAGTCTCCATTTGTTTATTTGTCACAAACATTGACCATTAACTTTAACAAAGTCCTTCCATCAAGAGCATCTAAACATCAAAGGTACATGCACCTTGATGAGCACTCCAGGCCAGATCCTTATTTACAAGAATTTGTAACAGAGTTACCAACGTCCCCCGCCTCGGGGAAGTTTTATATGAAGCATAAAATTGTGCTATTTCAAAAGATTGAGGTATGGATCTCAGGACTTCCAGGTGTTCTACTTGAAATATCGTTTTATTATTGTGACTATTTGTGCCAAGTTATTTCAAAATCCATTGAACTATGAATAAGTTCTAGATCGGACACAAAATATACCCTATAACAGGCTATGTTAATTTTTTACCTCTAAGTGTGACCTTGACCTTGGAGGTAGGGATGCAGGTGTTGCGCATGACACATCCTCTTATTATAGTGACTATTTGTGCCAAGTATTTTCAAAATCCTTTGATGTATGAATAAGTTATGGACCGGACACAAAATATACCCTTTAACAGACTATGTTAATCTTTGACCTCCAAGTGTGACTTGTTAATCTTTGACCTTGGAGGTAGGTGACCAGTTTTTGCGCATGACAAATCATCTGACTATTTTGAACAATTGTGGCAAGTATTTACAAAATCCCTTCATAGATAAGAAAGTTATGGACCAGACACGACATATCCCCTCAAATAGACAAGTTGACCTTGAATGAGCAAGTGCGACTTTGACCCTCAAGGTAGGGGTCTGGTTGTTGCGCATGACACATTGTCTTATTATAACAAACTTTGTGCCAAATTATCAAATTCCTTTGATAAATGACAAAGTTATGGAACGGACACGAAAGTGTGACGGACAGACGGATGGAAAGACGGACGGAAGGAGCCTATTTCTATATTCCCCTTTTTTCTTCGAAAAGGCGGGGGACAATAAGGAAAATGTCTTCAAGTCAGTACTTTAACCCGCTTAACATGTGCTTAAACCATTTAAATTGATTAAAACTATTTCTGTGTTCTTGAAATTGGCGTAAATCATGATTAACTGGAGGGTAAACAATGCATTTCAAAGACAAAGCCCCAATATTTCTGAAATTTCTTTTGAAATTGTGAATTTTTTTCCACCACTTTGTGAAAAAAGTGCAATTTTGAATTGTGAAGGGGCCTTATATCGGCCCCTGTTATAGAAGGACAAAAAAGCCCTGGACTAAACCAGCATTTAGGAAATGGTAACTTACTAAGTTCTTGTATTGACTATCTGATAGAATTTAAATAATGGCATCTTTCAACATCATTTGCTGTTCCCTGACCAATTGGGAAGTGACGCTCTACATAAAATGTATTTATAACCTTTGATGCGTTTAGAAAATTATATAAGATTCTAGAAGTAATCAAGTTTCACTTAGATTAGCCAAAATCCAAAATTGTCAGAATCCCAGTGAATCCTTAAATGAGTACAAAGTGAACATACAAAATTTGATTTAATCAATTTGTTGAAAATTAACACTAATGGTAACAAATTAAAATGAAAAGAAACAATTATGGTAAATTGACAGGATTTATTTACGGGTACTCAAATCAACTACATGAATTAATGAAGAAATAGTACCATCTTCTTTTTCAAAACTAAACCATAAAAGGAAATTTCTATGAAATATCACCAATCAGACATGAAAACCAGACTATGAAATATCAACAATCAGGACTGAAAACCAGACTATGAAATATAAACAATCAAACATGAAAACCAAGACCTATGAAATATCAACAGGAAGTCAGGCATGAAAAACCAGACTATGAAATATCTGAACAATCAGGCAATGTAAAAACCAGACTATGGAAATATCAACAATCAGACATGAAAACCACGACTATGAAATATCAATAATCAGATATGAAAATCAGACTATGAAATATCAACAAATCAGACATTGAAAACAGACTATGAAAATATCAACAATGCAGACATGAAAACCAGACTATATGAATATATCAACTAATTCAGACAATGAAAACGCAGACTATGAAATATCAACAATCAAACATGAAAAAACCAGACTATGAAATATCAATAATCAGACATTGAAACCAAGACTATGAAAATATCAACAATCAGACATGGAAAACCAGACTATGAATGATATCAACAATTCAGACATAACAACCAGACTATATGAAATATCAACAAATCAAACATCGAAACCAGACTATGAAATATCAACAATCAAACATGAAAAACCAGACTATGAAATATCAACAATTCAAACATGAAAACCAGACTATTGAAATATCAACAAATCAGGCATGAAAACCAGACTATGAAATATCAACAATCAGACATTGAATAACCAGGCTATGAATATCAACCATAGAGCATGAAAACCAGACTTATGAAATACTCAACAATCAGATACATGAAAACCAGACTATGAAATTTATCAACGGAATCAGACATGTAAACCAGACTATATGAAATATCAACAATCAAACATGAAAACCAGACTATGAAATATCAACAATCAGACATGAAAACCAGACTATGAAATACTGTATTCCTAGAAAAGATTTCGCGCATTTTAAGTTAGCGGTTTTCGCGGTAGGCATGATTCCGCGAATCTTTATAGCCGCGAATATGCCACTTATAACAAATCCGCGAACATTTCTAGCTTCAACCAAATATATCATAAAAAGTGTAGAATATTTAAATATATAGATTACTTACACAAAACTAACATATAAACACAGGTGTTATAGAAATGTGTAAAGAATTATTTATGTATGATACTAGTTTGCAGGCTGAAAAAGAAAAAATCAATTATTAGTAATTAACATGCTTATTGACGTTATTTGGCTAGTCACGGACGTTGACAAACGCATTTTACAGTTTGCGAACATTGAATGACTTGGATTTATTTTGCTTGGAGTATGGTGTAATCCTTTGTTAAAAGTACAATAGCGATCAAGTGCTACATTGATAAACAGTTGTTATAATAAAAAGCTATGTACAGTCCGATAATGTGTAAAAATGTGTAAAAAAATACGTATCGAAATTATGACAGATAAAGTCAGGTATGATTTAAATGAGAATCAAAGCTAACGGGTCAGACTAAATCTTTACTTAATAACATAATGAAAAAGGTGATGGAAATATGAATTTTGTTCACAGGAACAAAAAAACCGACCTTTTGTTTTTTTTTTTTTTTTTCGACTAGTCAATAGATGAAAATGTATCGAGTAACGTTGCGCTTTGGGCGCGACTTGTCAAAGAAAAAAATAATTAAAACACCCAACAGGCAAGTCATGCATAAAAACGTAGGCCTCCAAAAACGTAATTTAGGGCCGTAGCGACTTATCATTCGCGGAATTCGCGGTTACTACATTTCCGCGAAAGTTTGTCTCCGCGAAAATGCCGTCGTTGTGAAAAACGCGAAATATTGTATCCGCGAACATTTCTAGGAATACAGTATCAACAATCAGACATGAAAACCAGACTATGAAATATCAACAATTAGACATGAAAACCAGACTATGAAATATCAACAATCAGACATGAAAACCAGACTATGAATTATCAACAATCAGACATGAAAACCAGACTATGAATTATCAACAATCAAACATGAAAACCAGACTATGAAATATCAACAATCAGACATGAAAACCAGACTATATGAAATATCAACAATCAGACATGAAAACCAGACTATGAAATATCAACAATCAAACATGAAAACCAGACTATGAAATATCAATAATCAAACATGAAAACCAGACTATGAAATATCAACAATCAGACATGAAAGCCAGACTATGAAATATCAACAATCAAACATGCAAACCAGACTATGAAATATCAACAATCAGACATGAAAACCAGACTATGAAATATCAACAATCAGACATGAAAACCAGACTATGAAATATCAACAATCAGACATGAAAGCCAGACTATATGACAGTTTGCTTTATCTCTTTCATATATGGAATTATGGATGACATACACATATGTATCAAAAAGTGTTTCTTATGACAAGAAATTTGCTATTTGAAAAATAAAAATGATGTTGAGCACGAATGTTGGTGTCATAATCTAGCTTGTAGCTACCACTCATTTGTCTCACTGTCTTGCTTTAGTCATTTCCACATATTTTGCATACCTTTTTATGTCCTTGTATTTATCAGTACAGATAAGAGTGTGGTGATATGAATCTTTGCAGCATTGTTTCTCCCCCTTATATTAAGTGACATTGAATAACACTGAAAAGCGTCTCCTGCTCTACCTTCTTGTTCCATGCATTTTCCGAGAATATTTAGAGCTGTTTCCCGATGTCCAAGGTTTAGTTCCTCTTTTATGGTTCTGATAAGTTTGAAGAGCGCAGCTTGTTTCTGGTCATGTCTTCCTAAATGGCTGTAAACTTTGTATTGTAGAAAGTAAAGGTAAGGGAGGGAATCCACCACAGCACTATCCATCCATGTGTTGTCTTCTTCTGTACGAAACATTCTATCCTCTTGTGTAGATCTAAACATTTCATATCTGAGTTCATTTGGTACACCGTGAATTTCACATGGCATAAATGTAACACATGATGCTGTTGTATACTGTAAGATTTCTTCATTATGATTGTCACATAAATTGATTGAATCCTGGTCCAAATGGTTTCCTTCTTAAATAGATGGCAAATACAGACAGACTCAACAATTTGTAGATCATATTTTCTTTCAATCTCACTGAGTACTAGGCCTGCTTTTTGTATTTTTTGAACACAGTATAAGATTGAAGCTAGTTTCAGTTTATTTGATGCAACATCTGTATTCAGACCAAGTTGAAAGAGTTTGAGGGTATCTGCTGATACAGTGTTGTAATGATAGATGTTTAGTGAAGCCAGGACAGATCCAAGTGTTGTACAATACCATGGTAACAGAAAATGACTGGCTGTCTTATCTAATCCTTCATATTGACAGTTGATTGTCTTCGATACATAGTTCTTTAATATTTCTACAGCTCCATTAGGACTACTGTCCTTAAGATGATTATTAATTCTTTTCAGTGTCATATATATATGTTTAGCTAGACTAAATAATAGTGATCCTGAAATAATGTCACTTGTCTTGATTGTACCTAAATTAAAAACCTTACGTTGCAGCCTGGAACCAAGATCACATTTAATCCAAAGAAGTGCTACTCCTTCACTGTTGATGATATTGCTTAATATTTCCAGGATATATGGTTTGACTGCAGGTGAAATTTTCCCCCTCATTAATTGTTCCCAGGTATGATAAAATGTGGACAATTTTCATTAATGATATTGTTGTACAGGAGATATAAACACAGTGATAGACAAGAAAGTAAGTTATTTTCTCTCCAGATGTTAGAATGTGCATTAGAAATGCAATGGAAGAGTACAGTTTTACACATAAAGCTTGTAATAACATCTTTAAACAGTGGATTTATAAATGTTTTTAAAATCATTTTCATTAAGACATAACAGCGAATCTGCGTAATATTCAGGTTAAACATTAAACACCTTTCTGCTAAAGATGTTGATATTCTCCATTCAAGTTGCTCATGTTCACTGCCTCTACATCCAACACCAACAACGAAGCATCCAGTTCTGCTGCAATATTGTTTCATTTCAGCAGATGGCCATTGACCTTCACCTTGCTGATCCAACCATTGTCTAGCTTGTTGTGGCCATGTTGTACAATGTAGAGCAAACACAGAATCTTTATCACTAATGCCTGGTTGTCCTTGTTCAAAACCTGCTGGCCCATGTATTTCACGGTTAATATTGAATAAAGATACTATAAATTTCTTTAAAAGTAATTTTCCTGTTCTGTCTTTGAATACTAAGTGATGAGATTCACCATCAAGAGGAAGAGGAGCATCATCTCTCAGCACTTGAAGTAAACAATATCCAGGAGATATAGAATTATCTTGAATCATCAATAGATTATATAAACCAGGTATCCAGTCACTCCAGTCTTGTATCACAGGGAATGCTTTATCGCAATTTAGTTGATCTAGGTCTGATTGCAAATCTATTGTAGTTGTACCCTCTGATTGACTCCCAAAAATGTATGCTGAAGCATTTTTATCAAGTAGTTGGTGAGTTATATTTTCTATTGATTCTATCAGAAGCCATGTTCTTCTCCTCTTCATCACTATTCTCTCATCAACACCTATATCAGCCAGAACCTCTGATAGCTTCATTGACACAGTCTGGTTGTAATCTGGTACTTGATACATTCTGAAAATATTATATTGATGTCATTAATGTTTTAAAATATTATTAAGTTTCTGACATATGTAATTTCTTTACTGATTTTCCATTTAAGATCACCACAATCAGATTTTTTTTATTGTTAAATGGATAAATTTTCCTTCATAGAATTTTTTATACAAATATTTATCTATCAAGTTTTGTTGTTTTATAAGCAGTGTATAAATAATATGTTTAACATTTTTTTAACATGATGTTTGTTTATCAAGTGATTGTAGAACAGAGTTATCTTCTTATAATTAAAAGAGAAAGAGGAAGTAAAATCATTTCAGAAAACCAAAGATCCTAGATACTAACATTTGCAAAATTCTCAAAATTTTGTTTCGCTTTAAAATAGTGACCTCATGATCTTTAATCTTCTGCAGATATAAACAAAAAAGTAAAACTTTGTAAACTTTAATGAATACAGACTATACTCCTGATTTAAGTGTTGATTAAAATTGATTTCAAAACAAAGTCAAAATGTTTTATTTTTATTTGTATTTTTAATTACATTGATTTTAACACCTCCCTTTGATGATGAAAACTGATTGACACAAGATATTTATACAAGATAATTTGTATTATTCTTCACAATTAAATTATGATCTGCCTTTATTAATTTAACAATCTTTGAATGTGCTTTAGCTGTAATATTGAGAATAGATTAGCATATACATGTATGTGATTTTTGCATACTGATGTAATTAAGTTATTCAACACTGTACTAGATTCATGTTTCTTGTATGTTAATACAAAAGTGTCATAATATTTTGAAGAACAACAGTTACTTTTTATGAGAATTTCTTTTTATTCATACTAAATCTGACAAACTTAAAACATTTAATACAATAAAAACATTACAATAAAAATCAACAATTTTAGCAAGGTGACACCTTGTCAATTTATATTGATAATCAACACATTATGCTTATCAAAATAAAACAAGTGTATTCAAGGGTTTCAATTAAAGAAATAATCCTTTTTTATTTTTATTCATCTTGATTTGATTAAACCCTCCCGCAACTTTAACACCGCTGAATTTTTTTTGAAATAACTTGGCACATTTGATCACCATAATGAGATGATGTGCACAGCGCAAAAATTGGGTTGCTACCCCAAGGTCAAAGTCACACTTAAAGGTCAAATGTTAAAAAGTCTTCATTTCATAATAAAAAGTCTACATTTTGTGTCCGTTCCATAACTTTTTAACCGCTGTAAATATTTTTTGAGTGCTGATTATTATCCTTCCGTTGGTATTGTTTCTTGTAGATGCAGTCAAAATATGGTCGCAAATTCAAAATTGAGCATAGCATATAATCTTTAATCAAATACAAAACTTTAACCTCTTTTTGAAATAAATTTTAATGAAACATGTCAGTAGTATACAATAATCATTAAATTATTACCTGTTTGTTTATATCTGCAGAAGATTAAAGGTCCTGAAGTCACTAGATTTTCAATATTTAAAAAGCAAAACAAAACACTTCAGGAATTTCCCAATTAGACTGGATTTATTTTTAACTTCCTCTTATGAAGATAACTCTGTTGTGCAGTTAGTTTATATCTGACATTTTTTATCTCCCTTTGATAATTTTGTTTATTTTTACACTTTGAACTTTGTCTGGGACATAACTCTATAACTATAAGAGGTATCAACATGAAACTTTGTAGGTAGATAGATCTCATTGAGTAGGTGTGCAGTGCACATGAACCGTAACTCTGCCTTGCCTAAATTTTGAATTATTTCCCTTTGTTTATTTTTACACTTTGAACATTGTCCAGGACATAACTCTTAAACTATAAGAGGTATCAACAAGAAACCCTGTAGGTAGATAGATCTCATTGAGTAGGTTTGCAGTGCACAAGAACCATAACTCTGCTGTGTCTAATGTTTGAATAATTGCCCTTTGTTTATTTTTACGCTTGAACTTTGTCCGGGACATAACTCTAAAAGTATGAGAGATATCAACATGAAACCCTGTAGGTAGATATATCTCATTAAGTAGAAGTGCATTGTAAAAGAACCATAACTCTGTCTTGCCTAATTTTGGAGTCATTGCCCTTTGTTCATTTTGACACTTGGAACGGGACATTACTCTTAAATTATAAGAGATATCAACATGAAACTTTGTAGGAAGATAGGTCTCATTGGGTAGAAGTGCATTGCTGAAGAACCATAACTCTGCCTTACCTTTTTTGAAGTTATTGCCCTTTGTTTATTTTTACTTTTTTACTTTTGTCCTGAACATAACACTAAAACTATAAGAGATATCAACATGAAACTTTGTAGGTAGATAGATCTCATTGGATAGAACTGCAATGCTTAAGAACCTAAACACAGCCTTGTCTAATTTTGGAGTTATTGCCCTTTGTTCATTTTTACACTTTGAATTTTACCCGGGACATAACTCTGAAACTATAAGAGATTCATCTGCCTTGCCTTATTTTGGAGTTTTGCCCTTTGTTCATTTTTTTTATACTTTCCTGTGTCGAAAACCTTCTTGGGGAGCATCACCCTGTTCAACCGGTTCTTGTTAAATATAATATCTATTGTTCCAGAAAAGTAATTTATGATGCTTTTCTGAAACATCCTTACGCAAGACTGGATAGAAGGGAAATGGGAAGGTTTTAATACAAACAAGTGCAGTCATTGAAAATTGTCATGATTCTTTTTAAATGAACCAGGCTTTACTGGGTTCAACTGTAGCTCCATCGTCATCCTCCGGGGCTCTGTCGGCATTCACCATAGCTCTACCAGCTGTATCATACCTCGGATCAAACATCGGTTTGTGCGGGCAGAGCTACGGTGCTTCCTCTGTGTTACCCGGTTGTTCCCAGCAGAGCTAAGGATGAAGTCAGCAAAGCTATACCTCCCAGATCATCCTGGACAACCCCGGTGATATTAGATATTTTATTCCATCCGGGGTCGAAAGTGGGGTGTGCCCAAATCATCCCGGACGTTGCTGGCAGAGTTGCGGATGTACTCTGGTTGTTCCCGGTCGTTTCCTAATCACCCCAGACGTCTACTGGGGCTCTGCAAGGATGTAAGTGAGACTGTAGGGCAAGAGTAAAATATCTACCAGTGATGTAATTTTAGCTTTGGCCCAGTGGTTAAAGAATTATTTATAGGTTGTTAAATTAATTGTCTTCTTGTTGTTTTATTGCAAGTGAAAAATTGACCACACATGACTAGCTTAATACACATATAAAGACTAGCTTAATATTCATATAAAGGCTGTCAAAGAGAAATCATTAAATATCATTATTGTTCAATCTTTTAATTAGATTTTAATAAAATTATGTGAAAAATGATGACCAAATATGTGTTAAAATTGCATAAAATCTTACCAACCAAACAAACATTAACATAATCATCCTAACTGATCAATTGGCACACCGTTTCAGCTAAATAGTGATGACAATGTAAGAAAATGGACCAGTTGTACTTATACAAGTATTGTTGTAATTAGGCCAATTTTTTTTTATATTTTGGTTTACTGATTTTTTCCAAAAAAGGGTAGGGTCGGCGGCGGGAAAAAAAAAAAAAAAAAAAAAAAAGGTTTTCATAACTATAAATGTGGTGCATACATCATATACATAGTACTTACTAGAGCAATGAAATTAAATACATCGCCGATTGTCTATTCCAAAGATTGTCTAAATACAAAAAAAAAAACACAACTTTTGCTCACATTGCCATTGTTTAAAAACACACATGAAATCTACACACGATGACTTATGACAAGTGGCAAGCCAGCCCTTCAAAAGAATCTGTCATTCTTTGATGTTTACACACTGCTGTGTAATCTGAATCATCAAAGGTGCCGAAACTCAGCTGACTTGCACTCATTTCTTTGTAGATCAGAAGTTAAAAAAAAAACTGTCAAGAAAAAATTACACATGTTTAATTATTGCCCATTGTGAAAATATTTTTATCCGATAATTAGCGAGTCAATTTTTGACATAAAAATCTATTAATAGTAAGTGCATTTTTTTATTTTGTCTGTTTGAAAACCTATTCAATCTGCTTTTAAAGACTATTTTTTTTTTTGTTAAATCTGAAAATACTGATCTTGTCAATTGCAGCAGATTTCTCTCGCTCTGTCCTTGAATGTAATTGCTTACGTAATTTGGCGTGTTTTTTTTGTTTGTTTGTTTTTGTAGTTGTTTTTTTTTTTACATTTTTACGCATTTGGACCTTAAATGCATTGATGAAATATGATCAAAGCCTAATTATAATTCTGTGAGAATGGCTTGACCCATTTAACAGACATTCTTTCATAATACACCAATAAACACTTTCCCCAACTAGCAGACGACAGGCTATTCTTGAATAAAGATAACCGGTTGCGTATCTCACTGTATAAATCGTATGTAAAATAGTCTGGCATATGACTACCAGGTAGTTTAAATACTTACCGTGACGTTTCTTTGACAAGTCGTATTATTAGCGGCTTATTTCAAGACAACACAGAATTTTTTTGGGGGCAGATTTTTTTTTTTTTCACTTTCCCAAAATACAGAGTCGGCGGGTCAGTAAACCGAAATATCAAAAAATAATGGCCTTATGTTCAATATTCTGTATTTTTTTATATTGAATGATTTGAAAAAGTTTAATGCAAAGATAATGATAAAAATCAGTGAAGAAATGCAGTTGAGCCGTGTCATGACAAAACCAACGTAATGCGTTTGCGACCAGTATGGATCCAGACCAGCCTGCGCATCCGCGCAGTCTGATCAGGATCCATGCTGTTAGCTATCAGTTTCTCTACTTGTAATAAGGTTGGTAAGCGAACAGCATGGATCCTGATCAGACTGCGTGGATGCGCGACTGGTCTGGATCCAGGCTGGTCGCAAACGCACTATGTTGGTTTTGTCATGACGCGGCTCAATTGGTTTATCTTAAAGGTATTAGAACCAGGATATCACATAGCAAGAAGGGGACCGGATCATGGAGGTTCCAGCTTCACTCATTGTCGGCACTCGACGCAGATTGGGCGGCGATATGTTAACCTACGTCAGACATTAGAGGAACGAGCTCGCGTGGAACTCATGAGAGACTGTTTGTATCGGTTGAAATTATCAATCACGTTCGTGCGTGATTTACAGCAATTAGTTATGGAGGAGCATAAAATTTTATATCAAATTACGCATGATTGTGTCGATGAATTTCCTGTTAGTAAAATTTTCTGCCTTAATGCTTTATGTGAAGATTTACGAACTTTAATAGGTCATTGGAAATGTATAAAACAAAAACTGCACACAAATCGGTGGCTACAACCGGTTCTCGGTTCATTGCATTTTCAGCTCGACCGTATAAAATTATCATTGATACATTTACAAAACAAAGCTATATGGTGGCTAGAAAAGTTTGTTCAGATAGGTTTACAAGTTTTTGCTCACGGAAATGTGGACGCCTTAACGCATGAAATGATATGGAACATAACTCGTGGTCTCGAAGATCTGAACCGAATTATAAATGGCTTACAACATTGACAATCATACATCTACCTCTAAAATAGGCCTTATTAAATCTTTTTGTACCTACAACATATAAAGTGCTCTAAGTCCTGATTCTACAAACTCTGGTAGCAAATATCGGAGAAATTATGTTTAAATGCTATTCCAGTTTTCGAGGGTGCTAAGTATAATTGCCATGAGAGGTCAAGATATTTCAGCTCTTGGAAACACATTTCTGGTTTTTGTTACGACAAATCACGAATTTGTGAAACTTCTTTATTCAGGAATAAACCTCATCAATTGCACCGTAACTTTGTTGGACGGTAGGAAATCTAGTCATGATTAAAACAATGAATCGAGCCCTGATAAAACGACACCCATTAAATTCAGATTATGGGATACTGCTACCTGTATTGTAGCATATTAATAGACCTCTCTTAGTGCAGCTATACTTAAGGTCGGCAGTGTACGTGCGCCTGATTTGTCAGACTCGGAATCTCCTTTAGTGGAACTAGCTCGAGGAGAACACTCCTTTGCTGAAAACTTTCTACTAATTGTGTGCAATTCGACGAACCTTTTGCGGAGAAATGACCATCAGAAATCGAGGCGAGCTGTCAAGTACAGTCAGAGCATGATGAATTCGGGTAAACCTCCGCGTGGTGATACACCAGTGCTTTCAAGAAGTGATTCTTTGAGGAAGTCGGTCTCCTGGGGTGATTCTGCAGACAGCTCAATAAAGTCGCAGCTTACATCAAGGTGAGAAAATTTGTCTCGTTTTGTGGTTATTGCTTGTAATTCTAATTTATTAATCCAGCCAAGATACATGCATGCCCGCAACACTGTGTGATGGGGCATAAAGCTTTGCTCTTGTCTGTCTGACCTGCTTTCACACTGCCCTGCTGTCCATAAGAAGACTGGTTTGTGTAGCCAGATGTTAGTAGCATGTAACTGCCAGAGTCATTAAACTTTCTAAAAAGAGTTGTCAGCATGTGAACTTCTTGATGCAAACTTATTTGAGATCATCTGAGTTTTCCTTTGAGATTAGTAAGTAATAGCATTTTAAAACTTGTGTCATGTGTAACCCCAAAACTGCAAGAGCCATGAAACTTTTTTTTAAATAGTTGTCAGCATAACTTTGAACTTAAGCACCTTGGAATGCAAATTTTTGGAAGATTAGCAGAATTAATATTAATAAAGCATTTTAGGTCCTCTCTTGATGGGGAGAACTGGCCTATAGAATATTGTTTAGACTGTCACTGACAATAAAGCTATGAATCATCAGACTTGCTGAAGCCATTTTGTACAAAATTGACTTGTCCATCTTTGAATATAGGAAGGGATTCTTTGAGATTTCGTCAAGTTGTTTGTCTGACTTGGAATTAAACATGTTTTTGTGTGCTACTTTTAAGGGACCTATCGTTCGTATTACAAAGCAGCACGCCTCCAGATTCATGTTAATTTTCATGAAAATTGTGGACATGTATTTAAAAGTAAAATATTGTGAGGTGAACAAAGAAAGTAATTTACATATTGCAATCGGCACTTACAATCCAAGAAAAATACCAAAAAAGTGGTCAACATATGTAAAAACAGCCCCTACTGTGTTAGTAACGCAGTAGAAATATGGTGATAAAATACTGCAAAATCAGTCTTAAACCGCGCATTATAAACATGTAAAATATAACATGGATCTTGAATGTTTTTCCCTTTCTTAAAATGTTAGTACATTTTCCTCAATATTGATTTTCTTGAAATATTTGGCTCATCTGTAGGTGTGCAGCTTTAATATCACATTCATAGTAGCACAGTTGTGGTTTTAAGTTCATAGCATTATTGAACAGTGTCATTCATCTTGATGCTATTTGTGTCCATGCATTCAAGTTTCTTGTAAATTGTAACCTGAGTATATAATGTACACAGGCATGACATGGCTATATTATTTACTGTCGGAATGACTGATGTGTGCCGCTATTTTAATCCAAGGACATGACAGGGGTAATATTTCCACTCTAAAAGGGTTCATGATGTCAGATAGTAACTTTGTGCATAATACAAAGGTGTGTTGGTAGAATAATGCTGGTAGAAAAACTATATATTGTCACCTTATTGCAGTAATGGGTTAAATTCTTCATATAATTTAACATATACGGTAATTTAATAGGAATTAACCTGTTACTGCACAAAGATGATGATCTGTTTGGGTTTTTATTTAAATCGTTTGAGAACAAGTTAGTTAGCTTTTGGATTTTGGTTATATACACACATAGGGAAGACTTGGCTTGCCTAACTGTGTTGCCTCTTTAAATAAAGTTATTATTATTACACCCAAGAGCGTAGTCACAAGGTTTAATAAGAAAAAAAATTAAAAGAGTACATTGTTGGAAAAACACATTTTTCAAAAATCTCACAGTATATGTAATTTTCATCATTCATAATTATGTTTTATCAGAATTAATATTTAATCTTTCATTCTTTTATAATTAATCTGAGTTTGCTCAATGCAAAAAATCTTTCAGTTATAGTTGTGAAATTAGTATAAGGGAAATTGGGGAATATCAAAACCCACGACAATTGTCAGATTATGAATATTTATAGTATTTGGGAATTTTAGACCCTATTTTCGAAAAAATATCAGTATAGACATTTTCTGACATAGTAAAGAGGTCTCTTTAAGGGACATGTTTAAAAAAAGAGAAACACATGTACATAACACTGTTATTTAGTGTTTATTTATTTTTAGGTACATGGATTCATATTGGAACCATTTTGGAACCAGTTTATACATGATGTTTTATGAACCATGTTGGGTACGGCAGAAGTCGCTTTATTTCTCCGAGATTGGTAGTGTTTTAATGCTCAATACCACAGTGATAGCCCTTGTCAAACATATGATTCAACATGTCTGCCTCAAAGGTATGGTATAGGTTTCTATTTATCAAAACATTTAATAGATGTAACAGGATGGTAGATGTTTATTCACAAAAGCTCACAGTGAAATAGGGAAAAAAATTTATATTGAACGATTTTTTCTCTCATTTCTTTAGATTGCACATAGCTTTTAATATGCGAATTGTAATTAAGACATCATGCTTTGCATCAAGTACAATTTATAGTGTATTTCAAATAGTTTTGTGTCTTAAAAATTAATATTTTTATGATTAGTAGAGATTATTAGTTTTCTTTAATGTAAAAAATGCCATTTTAAGATATACTATGCTCATCTTTTGGTAAAATACTTTTATATCCGAAATTTAATGAAATCTAGAAAATTCTTACTGAGTGAGAGAGTACAAAACTATGTTTTGAAAGCTGCTTTCCCAATTACTGGTCAAGATTATTTTGTTCTTTTAATGTCACTATATATTTCAAACTGTGTTAAAATGTAGTTCACATTATCTTCTCTGTGTTTATTCGAAAGGTGTTTATTTTACTTTTAAAGAGAGACTGTATACCAGTTATCAGTATTTTTAAATATCAAATTTTAGCATAGTATATCTTTAGAAATAAAAGAAATTTCTTGTAAAAATAAACATTTTATTTTTACAAATTGTCACACAAATAAATAGAGATTTATTATAACACTGAATTAACCTTATAGACTTATATTCTAATGCTATGCAGAACATTTCCCATAGAAGTATGATAATGATTAACCAACCTTTACATTATCCTGAAATAAAACATAGCTGTTGTAATTTACTCCAAAGCTGTTACAATTTACTCCCAATTAAATTAACTCATTAGTGTCTGTATGCATGATTGGCAAAAGATCATGGCTTTACCTTGAGCAAACAGTGATCTCTAATTGGCATCATAAAATAAAACATAGCTGTTACAATTTACTCCCAAGTAAATTTACTCATTAATTTCTGTATGCATGCTTGGTAAAAGATCATGACATCAACAGTGATGTCTAATTGGCATTATCATGATTGAATGAGGAGTCTAATCCATTTTACTCCCATGTTATCAAAACCTGAAGAATATCTATGGTAAGATTTGTTTCTAGAATCAAAGTCTATAGATGTCTATTACCTCTATTTTATCAGTGATTAAGATATGTCCTAGTCCATCAGATGAGAAAATTGTATATTTTTTGTTTTACATAAAGGTGGAATTTCATTTTCTGATCATCTAAACTCAATTCATCTTTTTACATATCATTGATAAATAATTGGTAAAATAATCAGTATCTAGTTTTTTCTTTAAAAATTTTAAGAGCAAGTTATTTCAGTGTTGTAAGGAATCTTTGAGACCTTTTATAAATCACTATTGTATAGTTAGTTTAGATGTTTATGTTTCGGTACTTAGTGACCTTAAGCTAGTATTATTATGTAGTATTACATGGCACGAAACTGAGGTATGACCTTACTGACAATCATGTTTACATGGTCAGAAACTTCCTAGCGTTTATTTTTCAGCAACATTTTGTAAAAAGATATAATTATACCCCCACAAACGAAGTTTAGGGGGGGGTATATAGGAGTCAGCTTGTCGGTCCGTCGGTCGGTCCGTCGGTCGGTCCACATCATGGTTTCCGGACGATAACTAGAGTTTGGAATGAGGTATTGTAATCAAACTTGGTATATAGCAACCTTATGTGTAAACTCCGGTTGGTATTGCATTTGGACCCCCTGGGGTCAAGGTCACCGTTACTAAAAATAGAAAAATGGTTTCCGGACAATAACTAGAGTTAGGAATGAGATATTGTTATCAAACTTGGCCTATAGCAAGCTTATATAAAGACCTGGGTTGGTATTGCATTTGGGCCACCTAGGATCAAGGTCAAGGTCACCGTTACTAAAAATAGAAAAATGGTTTCCGGACAATAACTTGACTTAGGAATGAGATACTGTTATCAAACTTGGTGTATAGCAAGCTTATATGAAGACCTGGGTTGGTATTGCATTTGGGCCCTGTATAGCAAGCTTATATGAAGACCTGGGTTGGTATTGCATTTGGGCCCCCTGGGGTCAAGTTCAAGGTCACCGTTGCTAAAAATAGAAAAATGGTTTCCGGACAATAATTTGACTTAGGAATGAGATATTGTTATCAAACTTGGCGTATAGCAAGCTTTTATGAAGACCTGGGTTGGTATTGCATTTGGGCCCCCTGGGGTCATGGTCAAGGTCACCGTAAGGAAAAATAGAAAAATGGTTTTCTGACTATAACTAGAGTTAGGAATGAGATATTGTAATCTAATTTGGCGTAAAGGAAGCTTATATGAAGACCTGGGTTGGTACTGCATTTGGACCCCCTAGGGTCAAGGTCACCTTTAAAGTGTTACTAAAAATTGAAAAATTGTTTCCGGACAATAACTAGAGTTAGGAATGAGATATTGTAATCAAATTTGGTGTATAGCAAGCTTATTTCGAGACCCCAGTTGTGATTACAATTAATTGAAATATTTCTTTGTACACAGTTGATAGTTTGTGTTCAAATTTTTCTTCAGACTACTTTTTTTTCAAAAAGTCAAAGTTGCTGGTGGGGGTATTAATCACCTTCAGTGATAGGTCTAGTTTTTTTTAAAGAAACTACATATCATACCTTTTTCCATATTCATTTTGTAAATTTACTTGACATATATTTAGAAGTTATCCGTACATGTACATTTTTATCAATTGTTGCTATTGCGCAATGTGTTTGAATAATCATCCTGGCTTGACCAAGTCTTTATTTATTACCATTTTCTTGAACCTGGAGTTAACTTGTTAGTTTATACTTATGTCAGTTCCTCAAAAATTGACTTGTGTAATCAAAAAAAGGTTGTTTGAAGTAAAATAAATTTATACTTTAAAAAAGGTGAGAAAATTATATCAACAAACTTTATAAAAAAAATTATATTCTTTGTTCAAAACTCAGAAATTTTCAATCAAAGATTTTTGGTATCTGGTAAAGGACATATTTGTCCTTCAGAAGAAGTAGCCAATCATTTGAATAATACTCCTTACTTTAAAAAGAGCCAGAAATTGAAGAATATGTTTAAACATAAGGCTGTCTTAATGATATGAAAAGACTTGTGCCTTTCAATACTGGATAACTTATTTATAACTTTTCACATATCAGTTCCATGTAGTTTTCCCATGTAGATTGATCACATTATTGTATTACTATTTCTGTTCTTGCATGATCAGTATCACCACCTTTAGACAAGGATTCAACTAGCCAATCAGGTAGCTTTTTACATTTTCATCACTGTGTGTTGTTATTGTTATCCAATCAAAGTGCATGTTACATTTCCCACATGTTATTATTGTTATCCTATCAGAGTGCTTGTTAGATTTCACTTAGAAATTCCTATTTCTTTTTGAATAAACAATAATTATTGTTTTTACATATATTTGAAATATTTCAGTTGATATGCTAGTGACTGTTAACATTGAGTTTTTTTTTAGATTTTTTTTACTTTGAAATTAATAAACTGACTTGTAATTTTCCCCAAAAATTTCATTCTCCTTATAAGACTTCAGATTTTAAGGCTAAATCAGGATGCCTGTCATATAGGCAACCTGGCTAATGTACGCGGGTAAATACAATAATTATAATATCTGATCGGAACTTGTTATGTACAAGTCAATTGTAACTAATTGGAAATGATAGGAAATTAAGCCAAATTTTTACTTTCATCTGTCTCAGAACTGATAGATTAATGCAGAGGTTTTGTTTGGCACCAAAATCACCAGGAATATGTGCAAAAGTCACAGTGCTGAGGTTTTAGCAGTTTTAGCATCTGACTTTCCATGCTGGGGAGGGGCGCAAGGGCTTATTTCAAGGGCTTTGAAAATCCAAAAGGCAGAGTCTCGACAATTCTTGAGGGGTTTGTTGCCATGGTTACAATAAGTATGAAAGTAGCTACACGGCAAACTTTCTTAAATAATTCTTATCCTGTAATTAGTTGTCATGGAAATTGTTAAGTGAATGCAACTGAAATGTTTCAATAATTGTTGTATATTATGGATGTTTTGAATTCAAATGTTACTGTAAAGTTCTGCATGTTCTATTGTTAAATGTTTATGAATTTCATTTCAGTTCTTTTGAAAGCCTGGTTTTAGATTTTAGAATTTAGAAAATATATGAAACAGTACATTATTAATTTCTGAATTTCATTTTTTTTTTCAAAGAACAACTTGTCTTTAAAATAGAAGTACTTACCAGTTAAAACTATCAAATAAATTAACAGTGTTAGATTTCTCCAAAAAGCAAGTGGTGTTACAGATTTGCCTAATAATATGTGACTTGCAAACCTGCATGCACATTCAAGAGCAACTTGGAATTGTCCAAATTTAATTTTGTTTATGTGATTTCAGTATTAAAAAACTTAAATTGAGCTGTTCAGCTATCAGCTTAGGCTGCAGAAATACTGTAAAACAGTAGTATTTGTGAGGCTACAAAACTAACATTTCTGACAAGGTGAAATTTTCTCTGATTTCTACCTTCAGTTCTGTTGAATTTATATGATATTTAGATACTTAGCAAATATTTCTCTTTTTCAGGGGCCATACAATCTTCAATTTAAGAAATTAAAGAAATTTGAGCCCTTGCAAAATTTTCTGCTTTTACAGTATACAAACCCGTAAGGCCCAATACTTGAGGCATCGGCTACTTTTTATGCCACCGCAGCATCTGCGATGCGGTGGCATATAGCGATTCACCTGTGTGTGTGTTTGTTTGTGTGTGTGTGTGTTATATAGATTATATAGTGAACTTAAAAAATCTTCTTGTGAAAAACCACTGGTCCAATTTAAACCAAACTTGGCAGGATTGATCCTTGGGTGAAGCGCTTCCAAAGTTGTTCAAAGAATTTCATTCCATGCAGAAATCTGGTTGCCATGGCAACCGAAAGGAATTATAAGAATAAATTTAAAAAATCTTCTTGTAAAGACCCAAAAGACCTAGAGCTTAGATATTTTGCATAAGGCATTGTCTGGTAGACCTCTACCAAGATTGTTCAAATTATAGCCCTGGGGTCAAAATCGGCCCCGCCCCAGGGGTCATTGATTTTCACTGTACATATAGTAAAAACTAAAAATACCTTCTTGTAAAGACCCAAATGGCCTAGAGCTTAGATATTTTGCATAAGGCATTGTCTGGTAGACCTCTACCCAGATTGTTCAGATTATAGCCCTGGGGTCAAAATGGGCCCCGCCCCGGGGGTCATTGATTTTCACTGTATGTACATATAGTAAAAACTTAAAATACCTTCTTGTAAAGACCCAAAAGGGCTAGAGCTTAGATATTTTGCATAAGGCATTGTCTGGTAGACCCTTACCAAGATTGTTCAAATTATAGCCCTGGGGTCAAAATCGGCCCCGCCCCAGGGGTCATTGATTTTCACTATATGTACATATAGTTAAAACTTAAAATACCTTCTTATAAGGACCCAAAGGGCCTAGAGCTTAGATATTTTGCATAAGGCATTGTCTGGTAGACCTCTACCCAGATTGTTCAAATTATAGCCCTTGGGTCAAAATCGACCCCGCCCCGGGGGTCATTGGTTATCCTTATATGTATATAGTAAAAACTTTTTAAAAAATCTTCTAGTAATTGACAAATGCTAGAGGTAAGATATTTTGCATGAAACATTGTGTAGTGAAACTCTAGCAAGATTGTTCAAGTTATAGCCCTTGGGTCAAAATTGGCCCCACCCCTCGGGGTCATTGATTTTCACTATGAACATAGAGTAATAAATTAAAAAATCTTCTTATCTGAAGGTACAAGGCTTAAAGCTTTGATATTTGGTATATAATATCATCTTTAGGTCCTCTACTAAAGTTGTTTTAATTATGCCCCTAGTGTTGAAATTGCCCTGCCCCAGAGCAATCTTCAATTGTATAGAAACAAAAATAAATATGTTCCTACACTACTATTTAGTGTTGTATTAATGCGGTGGCATAGCATTTTTCTCAAATGCAATCTTGTTTAAAGTCTACGAGCATGTTTCTGCTATAATTTTACATCTACACCAACTGTGAACTTGAAATTGGCACTTGATAAATTTTAATGATCTGATAAAGTGAAGTAGAATCTATTATGTATCTTAGAATATGGCAAATTTCCTAGCAGAAAACAATTTAGAAAACATGTGATTCAAAGAGCATAGTTGTTAATTGATGTAGCATATTGTAAAAGTGCATTTCGGAATTCAATACTTAAAGAGATGGGTAAATTATTCTGCAGATATAATTGTACAGGCATTAATCTTTTCAATCATCAGTATTATTTTGTGATTTTGTAAATTGAAGGTCAAGGTTTTTGAAACTGAATTTGCTAGCATATCTTTAATTGACACACAGTTGTAAATATGCGTCCATTTTCTAAAATTCTGCCTTATAAAAACATTATTAGTTATGAATATTTACGACATGGCATAAACAGTTTAAAATGAGGTACAAAGTTAAAGCTTATGCCCCCAGCTGCTAGGTATTATGGTTATATAGCATACTGGCATTTATATATGGTCATATAACCTGCTGAAAGTCTTTGCACAAATTTATAATACTGCACAAGTCCACTCTTTAAATAAAATTATAAATAATTAAAGTGAATTGGTCAATGATGGAAGGTATGTAAAACAATAAATGATTATGTTGATATATAATGTTTAGTATCAGACAGACATAACAACAAAGCACAAACTAAATATATATAACAGTTGTTGGCAAGTATGAGATACAACTGATCTGAATTATTACATATATTTATATAGCAGATGATATAAATTGTTCTGGAACAAAATATTATTATTATTCATATAAATGTTCATACTAAATCACTAAATCAACATTTATCTTTCACTTAATAGTTCATGAGAATATCCAAATGATATATTAAATTTCTATTGTTTTTATCAACAACATACTGTATTGCAGACCAATCCACTTTAATAAATTTGTTGTTGCCATTATAAGATAGGTAATATAATTGTCATGATTTTACTGTGAAAATATAGGTTACAAACATGCAATAATTAATATATTATAGCAATGTTCATTAACCCTTAGCCTGCTGGACTTGAAGTGATATTAGACTTTGCCACTAGTAAATGGCCAGCTAGGTCAGTCTGCACATCCGTGTAGGCTGACCAGGCTCTATACTGTTGGCTGACCAATTTCAAATTTTCAATTTGATATTCCTAAATATTGTTAAATGAAAGATAGCTAGAGCCAGACCAGCCTGCACATCCCCCTAATCTGACCAGGCTCTTTACTATTGGCTGATCAACTTCAAATTCCAAAACTAAAAAAGTTAGATGAGTCAATTCAAGAAATCCAGCAAGTTAAAGGGTAAATTAGATAACTTATGATACCACATAGTATTTTTCTAATTTAATAATAATACCATCACATTGTAACAGTATTTTACCATATTGTTGTTTGTCTTGCATGAACTCTGTGTGTGCGTGTGTGAATAAACACCATCATGTTGTTTTAGGACCCCCAAATATGTTGCGTCACCCCATTGACCCAAAGTATCCTGACATTGGTGTTCCAATAATCCTACCTGATCCTTTCCCAGGTTTGTAAAAATTATGTGAATGCTAGCTTTTATTGGAATTTAATGAATGCTAATTTCTTTGCATGCTGTTTTTGCATTTATAAGGACTTGCCTTTGCTACAAATAGGACTTGCCTTTATTACATATAGGACTTGCCTTTGCTACAAGTAGGACTTGCCTAAATGCTACAAGTATAGAATCAGGCCAGCCTGAACATTTCTACAGTCTGGCTTGATTCTGTACTGTGTATAGCTCACTTTGGACATTTTTGAAATTGAAAGTCCTTAAAACATTAATGGAAAGGTCCACTGAGTTAATGGGCAAGTCCATTATATAAAGTTAACTGTTCAAGCTGTGAATTGATGTAATAAACTGTAACCTTTGTTGTATTAAAGTGATTATGATAAATGTTTAACTATGATGCCAAGAATGCAAGAAATTTGTTTATCCTTGCTACTTATAAGGTCAAGCTTTTCTGCATAGTTATCTGATGAAATGCTAATTATTATTTATGGATCTTAATAATTTGATCAAAACTTCTCTCTTTTTATTCACCATGAAACACAATAATGATTATGCCTAAACTTTATCTGTGTTATTACAGTACCAATTGAGTCTTGGTTACCTAGGCCAAACATTATCATTTTGAATCCTGAGCCAGAGCAAAGAAATGGACAGCATACTTTTTGTTGTTATTTGATTTAATGCTAAGACTTTGTGCCAAAAGTTTATTAGCTTCAAAGTAAATTGGCTGATTTATCCTTGAAACTTACTTTTATAAATGCTAAACTATTCAAACTTTGATTTTTAGCTTAACTATTTGAAGAATAGGGAGAGCTGCTGTACTCGCATAGGCGGCAGCTTCACACTTTAGTTCCGTTTTTTGTTTAGGTTGGTTTTATCTCTAATCTGAAAGGAATTCTCTAATCTGAAAGGAATAGGTTGAAACTTCAGGTATTATTTTGAGTGCATAATAGGAGGTCACTGACCAAGGCCTACAACATGGATTTTGACAGAACTATGCTCCTTTTTGAACTTAAAAAAAATTACATTGTCCAGACTCCGTTTTACTATCAAGCATTATGACAAAAGTCGGGCATGTTGTCCTAATCACAGGTCTTGTAATAAAAAGTACTTGCATTTGGTGTGCTTTAAAAGTGAGTTGCTTTGGTCTTTTGGGACAAGCTTTGCTGTGTATATAGTCTTTACATTGTACTGTAAACTGTAATACTATAGGTCAAGCTTTATACTGTAAGTTTCATGTGTTTATTTTTTAACTTTTCAAATGAATTGTAGTGCTTAATGAGTGATGCTTATGATATATCACAGGAGCTTGATTTTATTTCATAAATAAACTTACCTGACATTACTATATGGATTTCTCTCTCTTGATCCGCATAATAGACTCATATCCGGAAGATAAACTTTTGACCTCTAGTAGGTCACTTCCGGTAGAAACCCATGCTTGATTCAGTTTCTCTTATCTTGCGAAAGTGTTCGCATCTCCGTGAATTTAGACTCTTTTCAAAGTCTTTGGACTTAGAAAGTTACTTTATTAGTTGAGTTTCGTTTTATTCAACTTCTATTGGATTATGGCGTCGAATAAATCGGCGGAAGAAGGAGAACTTGCCTCGGATAGTGGTTCCGACGTGACAAACACGTCGTCGCACTCGCCTCGTGGATCGAGTGAAATTCCTCACCATTCAAGGTCAAGTAAGAAGAAAAAGGGTAAAAAACATTCTAAGTATTATGAATTGAGTAGACGTTTTTCTGTTATTGAAGACATGTTACACAAAATGTTAGATAAAGAACAGTCTCGCCCTCGTGAGGGAAGTTCTAGGGACTTGACAAACAAGTCGACGGTTTCGGTACAAAATTCGTCACAAAGACGATTATTTAGCGATAATGAAAGTGATTTAGAAGATCAAGTTTCTATTATGGCTCATGGACAAATTTCCCCACGTGATTATGACTCCGAAAAATCGGACTGTGAGTTAGAAAATTCTGCAAGTGCTCTTTCACAAAGAGAAGAACATTTATCAGACATGCAAAAGAAATGTCTCGTGGACATGTTTGGGGATGATGCCCTGGTTAAGAAGAATGAAAAAAAAAGATGGTTTGGTGTTAGATTCATCACAAATTGAAGTGTTAAATAACAGTTACAGATGTAAAGAGCCAAATTTTCTGTCTGCCTTTTCTGAGGAAAATTTTGATCTTTTTCCTGTGGACAGTGAATCAGAAAAATGGTTACAGGTGCCTCCTCTTGATTCTTTAGTTGAATGTTGCTTAACTAAACGTTTTGGTAACAGAGCCTCTTTTGTTAAAAGTAAAGGCAGGACTTTATTTACTCAGCCTTGTAAAATGGTAGAAAAAATTGCTTACAAAGGGCAACAAGCAGCTCGTCTAGGTTTAATTATACAGATGTACATCCAACAGAGCTTAGGTAATTTTCTACAGTTTCTGGAATCAGACGATTTCAATAAAGAGAAGGCAACCCAACATGTTAAAGATGTGTTTGCCATGTCAACTAAGGCTCTTGACCAGTTAGGTCGTTCAGGGGCGTTCCACCATGTTATCAGAAGATCGGTAGCTATGACAGATACTGCTCTTTTTGAGCAACCAGACAATTTGGAATTTTCTAATTTACCTTTAACTGGTGAGGGTGTGTTTGGTGCCGGTTTAGAGTCTTTGTTAAAAGCTCGCAAAGAGAAAAAGAAACAGATTGACGATTTAATTCCAGATGTTAAAAGGTCTGGCTTTAAAAGGAAGTTCTCGGGTGCCCAACCAGATTCGAGTAAAAGACCTACTCCAGATAGATTTTTTGACAGGCCGTCAGCTTCTACTTCTAAGTGGGATAATTTTCGTATCCCAAGACTGTCAAGAGATAAAACTGACAGCAGACCGCAGTCATCATATAAGTCAAGGGGCAGTTTTGGTAGTTACCCAAGACGATCAACATCCTTTCCAGGTAGAGGAAAATTGGCAAAATCAGATGGAAAATGACTCTGTAAGTATAATTGCAAAATGGCCGGAGATACCCGTTGGGGGGAGACTTTCACTATTCCTTCCAGAATGGCAGAAAATAACCACAGACAAATGGGTTTTAGAAATAATCCAACACGGTTACAAACTGGAGTTTCTAAAAATACCACCTTTTCAGGGTATAAAACCTACAAAAGTTCCTTTAAAGGACGAAACTGTTATAAACACAGAAATAAACAATCTTTTAGACAAAAAAGCTATAGAAATTGTGTCTCCCAACAAAATTCATTCAGGTTTTTACAGTACGTTGTTTCTAGTGACAAAAAAGACTGGGGATTTGAGACCAGTCATAAACTTGAAACCCCTCAACGAGTATCTCCACAAACAACATTTCAAAATGGACACATTATCAAAAGTTTTGAACCTTGTCGAGAAAGGAGACTGGGCTCTCACTCTAGACTTAAAAGACGCATATTTCCACATAAAGATATTCAAGGGTCATCGGCAATATCTCCGCTTTCAATACAAAGGTGTTGTTTACCAGTTTCGCACACTTTGTTTCGGTCCGACAAGTGCACCAAGAGTTTTTGTCAAAGTAATATCTGTAGTGGTGGCCCACCTACGAAAGCTCAATGTGCGTCTTGCCAGTTACCTGGACGATTGGTTACTGGTAAATCAAAAGAAAGATTTTCTTCTAAGAAACAGAGCACTAGTTCTCAGTCTCCTTTATCGACTAGGTTTCATTGTAAACAAAAACAAATCACAATTAGTACCAGTTCAGTCGTTGACTTACATAGGGGCTCAGTTCGATTTGATAAACGGCAGTGTCTCTCCAACTCTAGAAAGATTAAAAAAGTTAAAAAAATCTGTGTCAAACATTCTGGCAGGTCAAACAACAGCCAGACATTATCTGATATTATTGGGCACAATTGCATCTTGTCTAGAAATGATTCCGAATGCAAGGTTGTTCATGAGACCAATTCAACTGCATTTGCTTCAGCATTGGAGTCCACACAGAATGGTTCTTTCTCATGTGGTTCCTTTAACTCCTCAGCTGATTTTAAATCTAAATCGGTGGTTACTGGATCAAAACATAGCAAGGGGCAAATCTTTTCTGAAAGATGCCTTTCCAGTTACAGTGACCACAGATGCAAGTGGCAAATGGGGTTGGGGTGGTCACATGGACAACCTAACTTGTCAGGGTCAGTGGACCATAACACAGAAGTTATTACACATAAACTGTCTGGAAATGATGGCAGTGATGTTCAGTATTCAGCAGTTCCTGTCTCACTTGAAGGGTTGCAATGTACTGGTCAAATCGGACAATACTACAGTTTGTCAGTACATAAACCATCAGGGGGGGACAAGGTCTGCTCAACTGAACAGTATAACTTGGGATTTATGGCATTTGGCTCTGAAGAACAATATCAAGTTAAAAGCAGTTCATATAATGGGTATAAAGAATGTGTTAGCAGACACTTTGAGTCGGGAACTAATAAGGGAAACAGAGTGGTCTCTGAACAGTGCTGTAGTAGAGAAAATATTCAGTCTTTGGGGTCAACCAATGATAGATCTTTTTGCCACTCACAAGAACAAGAAAACTCTCCTGTTTTGTTCTTGGATTCCCCATCCACAAGCCTTTGCTCAGGATGCCCTGTCAATTGCATGGCAGAACATGTTTGTGTATGCGTTCCCGCCATTGCCTCTTATTCCCAAAGTTCTCAGTCACCTGAAGAAATACCGATGCACTATGATTCTCATTGCTCCACAGTGGCCGAGACAACATTGGTACACACAGATACTAAACCTCTTGATAGCATGTCCATTGAGACTTCCATGCATTCCGACTCTTTTAACACAATGCAAGGGGAGGGTTCTTCATACCAACCCAGAGAAGTTGAGTCTGACTGCATGGTTGTTATCGACCGAAAGTTCATGTCAAAAAACCTTTCTGAAAAAGCAAGAAAACTTTTGGCCAAATCCTGGAGACATGGTACTCAAAAAGACTATAAATCTAAGTTCAGACAATTTTGTAGCTGGTGTTGTGAACGGCAAATTGATTCATATACAGCCTCTTTAACTGATTGTGCAGACTTTTTGACACATTTATTTGAAAAAGGCTTACAATATCGCACTATTAATGGATACAGATCCATGCTATCATCAGTTTTAGCACCTGTGGAGAATATTCCTATAGGTCAACATCCTTTTATTATTCGCCTTCTTAAAGCTGTTTTTAACGAACGTCCTCCAATTAAAAAACTTGTGCCTGAATGGAATCTTCTTTTCATTTTAGGATGTCTGGAAAAAGCTCCATTTGAACCTTTGAGAGATGTACCATTGAAGTATTTAACATGGAAAACCTGTTTTTTACTGGCTATAACAACTTTTAGACGTTGCAGCGATCTACAGTCTTTACAATTAGGTGAAGGCTCTGTTAATGTTCAAAAACATGGACTTACATTTATTAGACCAGGGTTATCTAAGCAGGATAGACCAAATCATTGTGGTAAAAACATTTTTGTTCCTGCGTTGCCAAACAAGTTTTTGAACCCTAAACGTTGTTTAACTTACTATTTAAAAAGAACTGAACCTTTTCGTATTTCTGAAAATGGACAAGATATTATCAAGTTATTTTTATCTATGAAAAAACCACATAAACCAGTGACAGCGCATACAATTTCAAGATGGTTAGTGGACATTATCAAATTTTGTTACAAAAAGGAGAAAAAATCTATTGGGAAAATTAGAGGACATTCTACACGTAGCATTGGACCTTCATGGGCGTTATTCAAAGGTGCATCTCTTCAACAGATAATGGAAGCGGCAGATTGGTCAAGGGAGACCACTTTCACTAAATACTACTTAAAGCCAGTAAATGTAGATTTCATGAAGCTGTGATGGCACACAGCTGGGTATATATTGAATATAATGTGTGGTATCTCCTATCTTGCGGATCGCAGGGTTGTTATGATTTTTTACTTATGTACTTAAATAAGTACTTGTATAGATGTACTTAAATAAGTACTTGTATAGGATGTGTTTGTACATAAAGAAGTACTTGTACTTCATTGGGTATTTATGAGAATTGGGAAGAATATTGTTATGAAGTCTTCATCAAGTCTTGCTGCATTCACTCTACTCTATGTGGTGAGTAAATTATCAAATTTGAAATATATTTTATTAATACATATGCATGTATGTATCCAAATGTATATTTTACTAAGATCTTTGGTGGGAATTTATAGATTAATATGTGTTAAATGACTCCCACCACCTACATTACTGCTATAAAATCTAATTAATTCCATATAGTAATGTCAGGTAAGTTTATTTATGAAATAAAATTGGAAAATTTGTTTTACAAATTAGAGTTTTATGAATAAATAATACTTACCTGACATTACATGTTACCCACCCTGGGACCTACCCCACTAGTCATTTAGTATTTTGTTGGCGAACACTTTCGCCAGATAAAGATACTGAATCAAGCATGGGTTTCTACCGGAAGTGACCTACTAGAGGTCAAAAGTTTATCTTCCGGATATGAGTCTATTATGCGGATCAAGAGAGAGAAATCCATATAGTAATGTCAGGTAAGTATTATTTATTCATAAAACTCTAATTTGTAAAACAAATTTTCCAATTTTTTATCATTAATTGAAAAATATTTAAATAAACAAGAAATATGAGCCGCGTCATGACAAAACCAACATAGTGGGTTTGTGACCAGCATGGATCCAGACCAGTCTGTGCCTACGTGCAGTCTGATCAGGATCCATGCTGTTCGCTATCAGTTTCTCTACTTGTAATAGGGTTTGTAAGCGAACAGCATGGATCCTGATCAGACTGCGCAGAGGCGCAGGCTGGTCTGGATTCATGCCGGTCGCAAACCAATTATGTTGGTTTTGTCATGACGCGGCTCAATTATTGAAACACCCCCAGCTTTATAATATTCATAGTATAGAGGGGTATATTTGGCATTATTTCTTATATTTACTTATATTTTTCTATTATTGATAGAATGTCAAGTTCCTGTGGATATATATACTAGTACATGTATAGTAGAGCTATATTTTAAAGATATTTTACCAGCATATCTGAAGCCATTTAAGGATGATTAACCTTTTCCACTAGTGTAGAGCCAGGCCTGTCTTCACCTTTATTTGGTCTGACCAAATACTGTTGGGTGTCTGACTTTGGATTTTTATCTTCTATATCCTATATTGATAATAAACAGTTTCAAAAATGAAAGGCAGAATATTAGTACAAGTATAAGAAATTCAACAGCTTTAGGGTTATCAGTTGTATGCGTCTTTGGTTTGTTACATAATCAATTAGAAATTTGCAAAATTGATATTCATGAGATATTCTCTGTGTTGCATGTTGTTTGTGCTTCTATTTGGGGTTGTTTGCATTGCTAGAGTGCGCTATATGAATGGGCTTGTGTATGTAATCACAAATTATGGTGTGCATGGTTTTTGCATGGTGACAGGTGTTGTTTGTATAAAAGATATGCATTTGCAACTTTAAGAACACAGAACTTTCTTATAATATACATATATTTATTTTTATTATAATAAAAGATAAAAAATAAATTGGACATATTATTATATGTATAGTAATTTGAAGGAATATATAAATATAATAAGTATAGCAATTGAAAAATAAGTATAACAAATTTAATTCAGAATAAGATACAATTTCAAAAGTAAAGTCTAGCATATAGTGGTGTTCTAGGTGTCTACAGCTTAGTCCATATATAATTTAGTTCGAGCCCCTCATAGATCACAACCGTGATTGCTACTCAATCAGTACCAATTCAAAAATTTCCCCAAATTAATTAATGTTTTTGTCCAGATTAAAAGATGGACAAGTCCATTTAAGATATTTAGAGTGGGCAGGATAAAATTTAGATGCCAATGTATAGTTAATGATGCTTCTGTTTCTTGTACAAATTAAATTGTCACAGACAAATTATTTCAGCTCCCAGCGAGAGTACTAAGGATTTAGGCTCAAGTTAAACTTACATTTCTCTCTTATACGGTCTCATAATGATGCCGTCAGGGAAATATACTGTATAATAAACAGGGCTGCATTGATGGAGATGTAGTTATCATTTATTTATAATTATTGTACGATTATAAGACTTTCTTAAGGAAACGTCTGACATTCATAAAAGGCCGCAGTCTGTATAGCTCTTTACAGTAGACAGAAAATTATCACTAATTGCTTGTACAAGTAACTCCCCGCTGTGTTCAATGTGAACATATTAATGAACACATCCCTGGAATAAATATTCCTTTCAGACTTGTAGAATAATTGTTATTCTCTTCCACAAAAAAAAAAGGATTTAAGTAGCCAAATTATGAATAAAAAAAGAATTACCGAACAAAAGCGAACATAGTAATCCATTATCAGACAGCTAGGATATACCTACTGGATATACCGGGCTGATCTTGGTTTGCACTGGTCACATGAGTAAATTACGGCGCCACCTGATGGCTAAGGGTTAATCGGGTTCTGTTATCATTTTTATTCCAACAGCTCTTTCTATGCTAAAATCTTTCCAATTAAACATATTTATGAACACACCCCTGGAATAAATATTCCTTTCAGACTTGTAGGATTTTGTTATTCTCTTCCACAAAAATAAAAGGATTTTAGTGGCCAAATTATGAATAAAAAAAGAATAAGCGAACAAAGTAGTCCATTATGAGACGGCTCAGATATACCTACTGGATATACCGGGCTGATCTTGGTTTGCACTGGTCACATGAGTAAATTACGGCGCCACCTGCTGGCTAAGGGTTAATCGGGTTCTGTTATCATTTTTATTCCAACAGCTCTTCAGCTCTTTCTATGCTTCTTTTTAATTAAATTACATTAAAGTGTTAGAGGAGATGTTTTTGATAACACTGTGAGTGAGGCTTAGGGCCTTGAAGTTTGTGAGGGGGGGGGGACAACAAAAAAATCAATAGAAGCAAACAATTTAAATTGTACACACTTTAAACTTTTGTTGAGAATTTTTATTGACTACAATATATAAAATGAGAATGTTTATTATTTACTCTCAATATATGAATTCAGGCTTCTGTAATATATTGAAGATAATTTTCAACATAAATGTTAAAAAATCTTTTATGACAATTTTAAGAATTTTAACTTAGTACAAGAATAATTTCACATCCCCAAAAATGGGGTGTTAATTCAATTGTTATAGAAGTGTTAAGGGGACGATATAATCAAAATGTTTGCTCTTGCAAGGGCCATAATTCATTCATTAACAAGACAGACTGGCTGTTATAAAGTCTTGATTTATATAACTTGTCTTATGGGCAGTTAAATAAGGTACTTGTTCAAACCTTTACCAATGTAAATGAAGAGATAATTTTTATATTTTACAGATTTGTTTCCACCTGGTAGTGTCATACCAATGTTAAATGCAGCTAGAAAATGTCTCCATACTTCAGCATTTGGAGCCTGGGATACAAGTAAGTTTGTTAAATTCTTCAAGAAATGAGATAGGAGTTTTAATGTTGGTAGATCTATGCAAGCATTCTTTACATTGTTGGCTGGCTTTGAAATCTTTGCAATTATATATTATAATCAAGAAAATGAAATATGGGTATGTGGAAGCACAAGATTAAAGCTTAGATAGTGTCATTATTTTACTTTATTGTCCTCTCAAGTTTGGAAGGAAGTTTCCAAGTTAAAAAAAATTCTATACTTTGAACCATACTTCACTAGTATCTATGAAAAGTTATTTTTTGTTTTTGTTTTTTTTGTAGCCAAAGAGAAATTTATTCCTGAATATCTATCTTAGACATTGAGGCTTAAATGGTCATATGTCTTCACTGTAGATTTAGAAATCATGTAAGATTGGTAGTCTGTAACTTGGGGAGATATTGTCACATGGGTGAAAGTTTATAGGATTTTTCCTGAAGTTCAGGATTTTCAATCTCCTGAAAGCCTTCTATTTCCTATGTAAAACTATAGCAATTTAAACTTCTTAATTCAGGATTGTCTGGATTTTTAAAATTTCTAACTTTCACCCAAAATTGGGTATCACTAGTTGGTTATCCAGGAGAGCATGCAGGCAATCATTTGCCGAAGTATGACCAAAAATGTGTTAAAATTGGCATAGAAACCTGAAAAACAATTCAGAATTAACTAAAACTATACTTGCATTGTGGCTTAGCCTTAGTGATCAGATTGTCTTTTGAAAAGTTTTAATCTATTTTGATTTTATAAAAAAATATGAATGATTTTTTAAAGTGGATTGTGTGAAGCACTAGCCTCAATGCGACGTGACAAATGTTACCTCCTGCCCTCTAAGTGGACGGAGATTACAGTACGAGGACGGGAATGCTATTACGAAGATACGTACCAACCGGTGCTCACAACCCTGCCAGAGAAAACGCTCGGGTGAAAATAACTGATCCGGCCCCAGGGGGTGAGTGTTTTGAGACTCTTGTGGAATCTTTAAATTTAAGTTTTTGAATACAGCACAGTTGCCCTTTTGGTGCCCTGAATAATTCAGAGGGGTATTCTTTTTTCTCCACCAGTAAAGCCTGGAAAGTTGCCATAAGACTTTCTTATTGTTTGCATTACATAAAAGAACACTTAAACCAAGCAAAACAATGAAATTTGGCAAAGGATTGATGGAAGATTTGGTACTTATTTTATGTTGTCTTTACAAGCAGAATGATGTGTTCATTTGATTTACTGAAGTATGTATGTAACAATGTTTACACGAAATATGATGTGTTTTTTCACTGAAGCAATTTGAAGAGGGTAAAAAAATTGATTCCAATACCCTACAAAGTTTTTTATTGGCAAGAG